AAATTGAAACATTTCAGTTGTTTGTTGACCTGGAACAAAACCTTTAGTTTCAGATCAACTTTAATTGTTGTGTCTGTCTGAGCCTTGCAGTGCGTCATGAGATTTGTAGTTTCAAGTTCCTCATGTCTTCATTCTCCCCATGGGCAGTACTACATCTCCCATGATGCACCAGGGTGGCGCAGCAAACTGAGGCCTTGGCTACACTTGGGAATTCACAGCGCTGCCAGCGAGAGCTCTCTCACAGCGCTGTATGTACTCCACCTCTCCGAGGGGAGTAGCTTGCAGTGCTGCGAGCGAGCGTGCAGCGCTGCAGGCACTGATTACACTGGCGCTTTACAGCGCTGCACTCGCTGCGCTCGGGTGGGGGGGCGTTTTCACACCCCTGAGTGCAGCAAGTTGCAGCGCTGTACAGCGCCAGTGTAGCCAAGGCCTGATACACCATGAGCCTAAATTTCAAAGGTGTCGAGCATTCACACCACTGACTTTAACTGGAGTCTGGGGTTGGGCACCCAGAAGCAGAGGCCACTATAGAAAATGTTTGCCTTGAGGTACAATTGTATAGTCCATTTTATTTTACAGCCCCAGCTTTCTTTTCCCAGTTGATGGCTGGGGGGGCTGTGACAATATCTGTGGCAGAAACCATGAAATACAAGGATCCTGACTCTCCTCTCTCCTGAAGTAAATCAGGAGTAACTCCATAGACTTTTACCAGTTTTACACATGTGTGAGATCACAATCAGGCTCAAGGTGTTTTCCCCTCCTACTACCAAAAGTACCAGCCATGGGAAGACAGAAAGACCCCCAGAATCTTACTGCTACTCAGTGATGGGCAGAATCCAACAAGAGTGGAAGGAGTGGCATGAAAACCGAAGGCAGGCAGCTAGGTGCCATTTTAGAATTGTGGATTGGGACAGTGCTCTAAGAGCGGAGTCCTCCTATCCCACTTCCAAGAGTCACTTCTTTCCCTTACTGGCAGTCCCAGGCTTCAGTCCTCATTCCTGAAGTGGAAGCAGGAGGCTCTCACCAGTGTACATCCCACAAGAAGTGTGACTGTGTTCATACAAAAAGAACAGGAGTACTTGTGGCACCTTAGAGACTAACAAATTTATTAGAGCATAAGCTTTCGTGGGCTACAACCCA